TTATATTAGCCACTCTATAATATTCCAGCCTACAAAAAAAAATCAATATTTTATCTGTCTATATATTGGCATTATATTTTTCCAGTTTTTCAATACTAAAAACTGTGCAGTAGTGCCCTTTTGTTAATATAGGATACATTCCACAAACCCCAGAAGATACTTAAAATCCATCAATTTAATGCCTTTCCTCCCTTATCTAAGCACCACACACAGTGGCTGTAATTTTTGCAATTTGAGGTGCAGGAGCAAAACTAGCATCAATTTCTTTGTCCTTCCTCACAAGTTCATGAATACGAGATTCATTCTTACCATAGATCTTAGGAAATTCAACATACAATTTTTTTTCTTTCCTTAGGTTGAAAATATTCACCCATTAGCTTAAAGGAAGCACTTTATGACTTCTTGTTGGGATAACCCAATTGCCAAGATGACTAATCTTTCATTTTGAACAGATGGAGTAAGAGTTGCTTGAATACAAACACTGTGGTTGGCTAAAGGGTTGATTTGTGTCCTGGGTGAGATAGAGTTAGACAACACAAGGTCTTCTCATACTATTCAGAGTAATGTGCAATTTAAACTTAAGAATTGTTAATTTCTGTAATTTTTCATTTAATATTTTCACACATGGTTGACTACAGGTAATACAATCCTGGAAAGCAAAACTCTGGCCAAGGGGAGACTACTATACTGCCACACTGTTGTATTTCCTCTAACTTGGTGTTGGAGTCTCTCTCTAGAGAGTGGCAGGGTTACAGGGGAGGTAATTGTGGGTGTACAGAGTGTGTCATAAGATGCTTCTTTATTCTGAATGACAGCCTAAAGATGAAGGGTCTGACTGACTAGATGTCCCTTCTGCAGGATACTTGTTTATACTGTCAGACACCTTTGTGGCTCTTGTCTGACCTGTGTCCAGTTCATGGCTATGAAGATGGTCATTCTCCATAGACTGGAAAAAAGTTAGTGTCAGGTGTGTTGATCATGTGAGACTCAGAGGCAGCACAATTAAACACCTGAAAATATAAAAACAGTGTTATTATTTACAGATCCCAGAGAAAAGGTGGCAGCACAACTCATAGGACCAGTGGAGTGGGGGCAGCTGGCCGCTTACTCCTGCTTATCCAGCCTGTGGAGAATCAAGAAGGCAGGGGATGAGGGAGAACTGTGAGCCAAACCATTTATGGGGCCCAGGGTGTTACCCAGGCAAGTTTCCACAGGGAGTTCAATGATTGGTTTATAACAAGCAAGTAAGAACTCCATAGCATTACGCTGTGACTGAGAGGAGAGGGTATGGTATGTTTGCACAGTCCATGTGGGGTGTGGAGGTCAGTGGGGCAAGTCGAGTGGGTTGTATTTAGCTGTCCAATAAGAAAGTGGTCACCAGGAGGTGGTTTATAAGACAGATAATTTGATTAACCACCTTGAGAAACTAGGAGGAAACCAAGAACTGGAAACCATCAAGGGTCACCAAGCCTGGCTTTTGGTATGAGAAAGGTAAGCTTATATTAAAAATGGATACCAAGACCACATAATGTTACACAAATTTACTGCCCACACATATTTGTGTGCGTGTGTGTGTGTGTGTGTGTGTGTGCACAAAATCAGAATTACTGCCAACGGACAACAGGTCATTAATATAGTCATGAGTTTTCATCAAACTGCATTCCAATAGGAAGTGTCCAAGGAATGAAAACACTATGTTGACCTGCAAATTATAATTAAGATTATAAAAACTAATGACTCACATGAAATTGTATACATGAAAGTAAATACTAAAAAGTTTTTTGATATCATCTATTTCTGATCATTTGCAATGTAAATCTTCTCCACCAACATGAATGATTGAGAGCTAGCTTCATTGTAATATTTCCAGACATGTACAGTTTTCTTTCTGCATCTGCAGATTTTGCATCTAGAAACTCAAAGACCCTTGGATCTAAAATTATGGGCAAAAATGTGTCTGTACTAAACATGAACAAACTTTTTCTTGTAATTATTCCCGAAAAAATACAAAATATTTACACTGCGTTATGTACTATAAGGAATTTAGACATCATTGGAAGTACACAGGAAGATGTGCCTAGGTTTTATGCAAATGAGATGCCATTTTATACAAGGAACTTGGACATCTACAAATTTTGATGTCCGTGGGGATCCTTGAACCAATATCCCACTGATAAGAGGAGGTGATGACTGTGTATTATGCTCAAGCACTTCTAAGCATATTTCTAATGGATTTTCTTTTTAAAATATCAAAGACACATAACTTTCCTTAGTGGAAAAGATCTAGAGATCAATGCGATGTTTGTAGGGGGTTTTTCTAAGTGGGTTTTGAATGACCAGAATGCCAATTTCTAAAATGAAACAATTCTGAAATGATAATAACATTTAAAGAAATTGGACAGCTGAGTCATTTACTTGAGAACTTTTATTAAAACCAATACAACCATATATTTAGAAAACAATTTCTATGATTTGCTTTAGCAAAAAATGATAACCTATAAGATATGGTAGTACTTATATAAGTAAACATTATATACTTTGTGTAAAGCAATTCTATTGCAAGGGAAGAAAGTGTAAATTTTCCTTTACATCAAAGGGCCGTTGTGCATCTTTGCAAATACAAATAACATGCACTCTCAAATGACCCAGACTTTGACACCTTCATGATCAATTTTTATGAGCTGTGGAAGTAAGTGACATGAGCAATTTTTGATGGGGTCTTCTCTTCTATATCACTCCCAAATGAAAGTAACACCCTCCTCTTAAAGCTTTGTGGATATTTACTCATTAAGTCTTAAGATTATCTCCTATCATCATTATAGCTTTTCTATTTACTGCAACATCATCCTAACTAGACCAACTTGCTTGCATCTTTAATTCCTCCACGGACATCCCACCAAGCCTTGCACCCAGTAGCTTCTTATCAGCAGTTGTTGGGCTGCTTTAAGATGTTCCTTCTGGCTGTGGCCTTTTCTTCTATTCTGGAAAACCAAAAGCTCTCCTTTCTCAAATGAATTTTTAAAATTCTAACATTAAGTTCATCTGAATGCTTCTCACCAATGACTACTTGAAGATACTTCAATCATAAATTAGTAACTTTTCTTATCAGCCAAGCAACCCCAAGGTGGAAATTTCATATAGATCTAGGTGAAGTGTCTGCTACTGAAACCATAACAGAAAACTAGTCATCGCTAAAGGAATGATTATCCAATCCACAAATTGGGGGCAGGCCCTTTGTTTTTCCTCCTCCTTCCTCAGCTACCATGATCCATTCTCTACAAAATCATAATTCCCCTAAAGAGTAAGCAGGATGGACCACAAAAAGCAAGTTGCTATTAGTTACCAGAGTGGAGAGAAAAAATTAAAATTTGGTAAAAGCAAGAGATTCAAACCACTTTGTAAGAGAGATTTTTAAAGCACCTCTGGCTTTTTCTCTAAGTCACCATGTAGATAAGTTGTAACTATTGAGACCGAATATATACTAGATGAATATTCTAACAAAGTTTTTCTTCTATACTATTAAAGTGGATATGAGCAGTCAATCATTCACTCAACAGATATTGCTTTTGTATCAATAATGTACATTTTTCCTGCCTTTAGATGATGATAATTGAGTTAAAAAGACAAGAAGATTTACAAAGTTAAATAATACCTAACAATGGTATGAAAGATGTTATGAGAAAGAAAAATATTTAGCAAAGACTGTAATCTATGTTATTCCTAATATATCAATAATCATAATCATTAATATCTATCATTCATTAAGTATCATGTTGAGTTTTACTTATGAGATAGGCACCATTCATTTTCTTTTACTTTGTTATTAATACACTTTGGCTGTACATGATGTTAACATTCATCATAGGGAGTAGGTACACGTACTTACCACATCTTGATTCTCTTTATTCCCCTGCCCTCCTCACTTTCTTCCCTCCCTCCATCTGTAGATCCCCTTCCCCTATTTTCATTATTATTTTTTTAGTCCATGCTTGTGACATAAAGATTACATTCATTGTAGGCAGTTGGTACACATACATGACACATTTTACATCTCATTGCATCCCCTTTCTCTCCTCTCTTCCTCCACCCTCAGTCCCTTGGCTCCCTTCCCATTATCATAACCATTTTATAGACTGGGAAACTGAGGGCATAAGAATTTTATAGCAAGAGGGCTGGGGATGTAACTCAGTGGTGCCACCGCCTGCCTCGAAAGCACAAGGTCCCGACTTTGATCCCTGGTACCACAAAAAAAAAAAAAAAAAAGAATTTTATAGCAAGAGATCAAAGAGACAGTATTTACGGCCAATTTACCTAATCAACTTGCAAGCTCTTGCTATTTTTCTATGGGTATCTTTTATCTAAATTTGGGGTAAAGGCAAGTCCATATCCAAGACAATTAAAATTTCAGTGTTGATACAACCAACATCTATTTTATTTATTTACATTGCATTTCAAATTTATTTGGAATATTGGTCTTTTAGTTGTATCAGTAAAAATTATGCTTCTTTTTACATAGGGTTGTGATACCCAGATGATTTATGATATATTGCTAAGGTTGAAATCCACTATCTATTTACCTGGTGATTTTGTCTGCAAAAAGGTAAGTAGACACTAATTTCTTTCTTCATAAGATATAGAGGTATGCATTTTGATATAATTTCAATACAACAAAACAATTCAAGTATTACATGGAAATAGCTAAACTCAAAAATTCAGATTCCTGTAGAAGTCAATCTGAAAACAAAGGTATTACTACTACATATTATCTAAACTACAAATGTATGTGACCACAAGACTTTTAATATTACTGACTGTATATTGTATGATATTGAGGTGGGATTTTTTTGAGGAATATGTCATCATTTTAATGATGTAGATCTTTGGTGTTTCTTGTCTTTGGTGTTTCCCCCATAGCAATAAACTATCCCCTCTCTTCCCACCACGATGTTTCTCTGATGAGTGACAAACAGAAAGGAAATCACAATCTCATACTAAAAACAAAATGATTGGAGCCTTGATTTCTCCACTAGAAACTACCCTTAAAAGGGGAAAAGGGAGGTAATGGAGCAGGGGTTAAAGGAACCAAAAGTGACCAGGACATGCTACATGCATGTGCCAATTCCACAAAACAAACATCACCACTATGTATTGCAAACATATCCCAATAAGAGAAAATTTTTAAACAAAAATATATACACAGTTCAAGATTCCACAAGCAACACCTTAAATTACAGACCAAGATCTGCCATTCTGACTCAGAGTCTCTCCCTCAGCCCAGCCTTAGGATGGCTTTGGCTTGAGCTCAGGTAATACTGACAGTGACAAGGGTTCTGTGGGCCTTGGCATGAAGGAGGAGCTTGGTAGACAAGCCTGGGGCAGTGAGCCTGTACTCCCAGCTCCTGAATGAGGAGCTGCCCGCTGTCCCTTGTCACCATCCTGTATCAGTCAAGCAAGCTGCCTTGTTTACCTCATAACTGTTCCCCATTGGTAAGTCTGGGAAGTTTCCATCCTCAGGAACCTGGAGCCCAGCTTGTCCCTGAATGTGTCTCTGTGGGATACACCAGTAGAGAGAGGCTGGAGCTCTGGAAGCCTCGGAGTTGAAGAGGATTCTGAGGTTCCGGCCTCTCCTCTGTTCCTGGGCTCCAGGTGGCTCTGCCCACCCAACTGGTAGACAGGCCAAAGCTGCTTCACTGGCCTCCATCCAGGATGGTGCGGCCCAGATCTAGAAGACTGTTCACTCTTCTGGCGCTCCTGCCAAAGGCCGAATCTCCTGAACCTGTAATCCTAGGAAAAGGTAGGGTTCATGGTTCCTAAGTGCGGGAAGGGGGACAGGGATGGGGAGGATGACATCAGGGTTGGCTGGGGTGGCTCCCACTCAAAGGTACCAGGCTGGACCCTAGAGACTGTCCAGGGGCGTAGGCCTCACTCATCCACTACTTAGGTTCTGGGACCAGTCCCCGAGAGGTAGAGAGCTGGCACAAAGAGATGCAGGTAGCCTCAGACTTGGTGCCCTTTTGAAGATGTGGGGGATTCAGTAGTGATGATGATGTTGCTGAAGCCACCCATGGAGGCCATGATGATGCTGTGTACCATGGCAGTCATTTCCCCCTCTGCCGTTAGCATCTAGATCCTACTGAGGGCATCTTCCCCACTGGCATCATAATCTGAGTCCTTATAGTTTTAGTGGGGTCAGTCTACAGTTCGGTGGATCCAAGGCAAAAAAGGCACGGTGGGCGGACATGGCAGAGGAAAGCTGCTAAACCCATGGAATCCAGGAATCAGAGAAAGAAGGGAGAAGCCAGGGACAAGAATATACCCTTCCATACATACTGTTTTTAAATGTGCAACTAAAAAACTATTTGAACAATTCAGACATAGGTCAAGAGCATATTTGAAACAAAACTTGTCCACGGTGAATTCCATAGTATAGAAATAATTATGTATACAGTTCTGCAAAACAACAATGTACTCTTGGAGTTCAAAATGGAACCAGACAACACAGATTTCATTACATATATTATAAAACTGTAGGTAGCCTGAAAATCTGCTTTGTATAAATGTAGATTACCAAACACCACACCCTATTAATTCTAAATATTTAAAAGGGAGGAATAAGTTACAGGAATGATTAGTCATTTTACCCATTTTGTGTCTTTGGCAAACTAACCGTCACCTCCAGTTGCTCACCCAGTTAGTGGATAATGTCAATTGTTTTCAAAATTTACCATGCATTTATTTTTAAAATATAAAACACACAAAACACAAAAACAAAAATCCTATCACCCCCAAAAAATTACCATGCATATATTTTGGTCAATTGTCTCATACAAGTTGAAGAATAGATGAGCTTCTTTTATGAAATGAATACTTATACTGTTCATATGCTTTGAAACTTGTTTTGTCATGTAACAATATATCATATGAACATTTTACATAGTGTTAAGTCATCTACAACTTGTTTCTTTGAAGCTACAAAATATTCCAGTCTTTGGACATATAATCAATTTCCAAATGGTTGTGTAAATAATTCTAAAGTGAATATCCCCCTGGATAAATATTTTTGCACATGTCTGATCACTAACTTTAAAGGGGAAAATAAGAAATTATAACCTTAGGTTTTATACCTCAGAGACTAGCTAAATGCTGAAGTGAATAATCAAAATAAAAAATAAGAACAGTTCAAAAAAATGGGAGAGGATCCAAGACCTTAGGGAGTTCACAAGCAAGGGAGGATGAGAAACACTTTATTTCATTTGAAAATAATGTGTTAAGTGCTACAGTGGCAGTAAGTATGATCTGTTGTAGGACATAAAATAAGGGCACTGGTCTTTCCTAGCTCTTGGCAAGATTTCCTAAAACTGTTCACACTAAGTACTGGAAAATGAATTGGAATGAACCAAGGGAAACAGATATTCTGAGTAAAAAATTAGCTTGAGCTAAAGCAAAGAGAAAGAATTGGTGTCTGCAGGAGGAGTACAGAGAACCACACTAAGACAAATGTTATAACACCTTTATAATTGTTTATTAATAAAACTCAAATATCTTTAGGGCTATAGGGTAGGCAATAATCTGAGTCCTGAGAGAAGATAGATGGTGTTGTTCTCTAGGACCTTACAGTCCAATTCTGTGGTATTCAATTCACATTGTATGTCAGAATCACCTGAGTCTGGGGTCCATGCCTAGGTATTCAACTGGTCTGGATGGAGTCTACATATGGGCATTTTTTAAAGTTTCCTTATGATTCTAAACTGCAGCCAAAGTTGAAAAGAAAATAAATAAATGGAATTAAATAAATGCATAACTCCAAAATGTCTGGCATTGCATGAGGAGAAAATAAAAGTTGCCAGGAGAGTATGTAGTGACAAAGGCACTTAATGTAATTTTGATTAGAAGTTGGAAGAGAGGGAAATTGTCAGTTTGTCGGGCATGACCTTTATAAAATCTAAAGGAAAACATTTCTTCAGTAAAAAAGAAAAAGGAAAAAGAGTAGACTAGAGAGTATTTTTAACAAAGAGCTGGAGCCCTGAACCAACAGGCAAAGCAGAGCTTGGCATCTCCAGGAAAGGAAGTGAGTCACAGGGCTGATGGGGAAAGGAAGAGTAAAATAGAATGTCATGTTCTCAAGGCACCTGCTGGAAATTCCAGGTCACGAGTGGAAATCAGACTTATGAGAGATGATGAAACTGGAGATAAATTTTGGGAACTGGAATATAATGGAAGCTGAGTTCAACAAGAGGTCAAGGTAAGAAAAAGAAGGTCAAGACTGTAACTTTGAAAAATGCCAACATTTATGGAGGAAGTCAATGAAGAAGACTCAGAGAACAACTGAGAAGCAGCTGTTAGATATAAAAAGTAGGCAGATTGGTGAAATGAATCATTTACTTTAAAATGGGAAATACAAACCCCAGTGTAGTTTAAAGACCCCTTTGAGCAGTGGTGCATTGGAGCAACATGGCCTAATGCATCAAAATGGCCTTGTAAATTGTTCCACTAGCAGCAGGGACTGAAAATTGAGATAACCCCAGAAACTTTAGCACTTGAGTCCCTAAGTAGTGGAAATTTGTTTAACAAAGTGTGAAATGTAGAGTAGAGATGCAGCCTTCTCATATCTAATTTTTTATACACCACATTCATCACATGATAATAAAAACCGATCCGTGAACACAAATGAAGGATGGAGAGGAAGACATAGGGGGAAGAGCAGAAATGAAAAGACACATTTCTTCATTTTTGTTTTTGTTTTTTAGGAGAAGATTTACAGTATTAGGAGATATGGATAGAGAAGAAAAGCTGCTACTTCAGCAAATTTACACAGCTGAATTCAGCTTGCTTTTTGCTTATCATTTCCACAAAATGCTATAGGAAAAGAAAGCAGGGAAATATGTTCAATTTGAGCTTATCTAAACAACTGAAGAAAGGCAGATTTTGGGCCTGCATTTGCTTATCTTCAAAATATTTTCTAAACTTGCAGAGTGGATAGTTTGGACTGCTTCAAGATTATTTGGGAATTTTCCCAGAATGGTGTGCAGCAGTGTAGAAATCACCCAGAGATCTTGTTAAAGCATAGATTTCTGGGACTTCACTCTCAGAGACTCCAAACCAATATGTCTACAGTGGAGCCTGAGAATTTGCACCTCTAAACAAATTCTTGAGGGATACTGATGATCCAGGAACCATGCTGGGAGCAGTACTGCTCTTCTCTAATGGAGTTCACTTGAGTGTCATAATGCTCCCCACCAGCCTTTGAAATAGCCTCCTACACAGGGATCGTGAAATTTTGACATTCACTCTCTCTAAGGGTTGGCTCACTCTGCATGAAACTAATCCATTTCTACATTTTCTCCAAATTAGTACATATACCAACCACAAGAACTTGTTTGATCTTATTTTGCGCGTGCTGTCAGCCCTTATTCTCTGAGGAATGTCTACTTCATTGGAATGCTAATTAAACTTGCAGAAAAGGCTTAAATTAGCCTAGAAATATGCAAGAAATAGTGGAAATTTGGTTCATTGATTATGCCAAATCTCCTTGGAAAATTATTGAAATGATCATTAAGAAATAATTAAAAGTGCTGAACTATATTTAAGTATCCATCATGT